CCCCCCAGCCCGAGGAACCCCGCTATTTCCTGTAAGTTCTGCCTTCTGCAATTGTCTCATTCGTTTAATTCTCTAGGTGTACCATCCCTTTGATGCTATAACTATATGCTTATAATAAACCTCCAAACCGAAGAATCCTTAATAATATTTGAATGAAAATCGTTCAGCAAAGAAGAAATACTTCGAAGAACATCAATTCGGTATTGGATAATGAATTAAATGGGAGTTTCCCAAAAAAAAGTTGTCACATTTCGGATATCCAATTAATCTTTCGATATATCAATCAATCTGTGATTAGTGGCAGATTATAACACTACTGGAAAGACGATTACTATACACTGTTTGATAATAGTGCTGACAAACTTCTTTCATTGCCTAAAAATCCTTTCAAATTTAGGAGATCCGCCGCCACACACCCCGTTAACACTCCCCGACCCCAACCGAGAACCCAACCGAAGCCCGTACCCAAATTCAAGCCGGCAAACATCGACATTTTGGCGCCCCAACACCGCATAGAGCTGGGCACGCCGTCAGGCCCAGCCTACGATGTTCAAGATAATAAAATATGTGAGTCTTTCACTTCACTGAAGTTTGATCACAATCTCAATTCAATTCACTTCGAATATAATGGTCATCGATCAAAATTGAATTAACCCCATCTTCACGACTCATTATGAAATTATTGACGAGCGATTACAATAAATTCGTACTGATTTCTTATCACATTCGAGCGCATCAAATCATTGATGCCAGTTTGAACTTTTTCGAATATATCATCCTCGTGTGTATTGCGCAATAATTGAAATCCCATCCCCCTTCAACAAATATCCACTTCAGTTTGCCGTCTCGATAACTGCGCCAGGCCGGCAGTACCTTTCAACACCGTGGCTGCGTGGAAGACGCACGTAAGGAGAAGCAAATGCCACGAATCTAACAGTATGTTTTATTTCAACAACTCAGCATCTTTTCATCCGTTACCCTCAGTACTTTTCTGTAATCTTGCTCAAACAGGTAGCAACATCAATGATTTAATGGATGATTATTAATATGTAAATGATGACGCTTGGAATGTAATCATGAATAGAGCAGTTACATTATACTTCATCGAATAGTATTATAACAAATTCGAGTATAACGACAAGGATCAAAACGAATTGTGACTGAATTCAAACCGAAGTCTTGAATTTCGATTGGACCTGAATAATGCTTCACTAAAAGTGTTCATCAAAACAATGTACTCTTCATGAAGCTTCAATACGGGTGAAGGTAACATAGATCAAAACAAGGGTTAACACGCTTAACCAATTTTCAGCACTGTGTACGGGTTGCGGTCATACAATCCGAATGCCCGTCGGCCTCTCTGTGGCCCAAATAAAGATAAGAATGGACGCGCACGGGCAAGAGAGGTGCCTGAGCGTGCCGGCGAGGACGGTAGCCGCACGCCAGGTCGCCGTGTCTCGCCTCCGGGATCTGGACCGGGACGTATCTCATTACGTCCTCCCAGAAACCGAGGTGGGCGAAGGGGTGGGGGTGTCGCGTCCCCTGAAGCGGCGCCTTCCCTCCGAGGCGGACCGACGGGCACACGATTGTATAGTGTACCTGAAGCGGTACAAGGAGGACCGGCCCGAGTTGCTCCAAGCGCTCGCGGCCGATTATCAGTTCCGGCTCAATTAAACGCATCAATGGCAGCGACAACAACGGCATCAACAACATCAACATCAACAACACCGCCTTCATCACCAGCAATTTGGTTTACCATTTTCTTATTATCCTAACGGTAGAGCACTTATTCGTTTGATGATGTAGCATATTCACTTATGATAACGAAGATGTTCTGATTGGGCAATAAGATATCCTGAACGCCAGTCATATTTTTGCGTTGAAATTTTTCCTATCGTCATATTAATAGCTGCAAATTGATATCGATATGAAACGGGCCTTAATTTATTACTTTCGAAAAGCCTCCTGGCGAGCGGTTTTTAAGATGAACCTATTCTGATTCGATAAGAGCATCTGGAATTGGGGTGTTTCAAAATGTAAAATTCTTTGATGATGCACACGACTGGATGATTTTCCATACATACGCTTGCTGAATTCTCCAAGAAACAAAAAATAAAAATAAATAAAAATGCGCTATTAGTTCCTAATTTTTCATCTATTGCATATTATCACGTGTCTTGCTGCTATCGTTTGAGGGATGCGATATGATTCAGAGTGATGAGACTGAAGTACAGATATTATTCATTTGATTGGCTGAATAATCCCCTCATGATAAAATTCTTAATTCATCGACAAGTTTGATATTTAACCACGGGATATCGGTAATTTTTCAAATATAGAAGTTTGCCAACCCATTCAGCGGGTTATGTGGGTCAGGTAGATTGCGCAGATATCATATGGGGTGTTGGTGAGGCCAATAATGAGCCGTTTTTCCCGGCAAATGGCCAAGGGTGAGGGACGGCCAAATTAAAACCGGCTTTTCCCGGTAAATGGCCAAGGGTGAGGGACGGCCAAATTAACACCGGTTTTTCCCGGTAAATGGCCAAGGGTGAGGGACGGCCAAATTAAAACCGGTTTTTCCCGGTTAATGGCCAAGGGTGAGGGATGGCCAAATTAAAACCGGTTTTTTCCGGTTAATGGCCTAAACATGGGAGAGGATCGGGTTCACATGGGTTTGGGGATATTGCGCATTCTGTGGGTTCGGTGAGGGTCAGGCGAGTTGACTGAAAAGGCTCATTTTAGAGCATCC